CACCAGCCACTCCTCGGAAGGAAGGTTGGGCAATCCTACTTCTGTAGTGATACTGCCTTGGAAACCCAAGGAGGGGTCGCTATGAGTCAGATTTGACTCGACGGCACATAACAACAACAACAACAACAACCTAATGGCACAGACGTGTTGCTTCACTCGAAGGAAAAAAAACTGTCACTATATCTAGGTAGGAGCTCTGGTGATGCAGTGGTTAAAGCATGGGGCTGCTAACCAAAAGGCTGGCAATTCGAATCCACTAGCTTCTCTGCAGGAGAAAGATGAGGCAGTCTGCTACCATAAAGATTTGCAGCCTTGGAAATCCAATGGGGCAGTTCTACTCTGTCATTTAAGGTCACTATGAGTCAGAATTGACTTGACAGCAGTGGGTTTGGTTTGGTATCTAGGTACCCATCAATCACTTACATTTTCTTTATTTGTAGCTGAACTACACATTGCATCTTTCTTTCTGTGTCCATGGTCCAAAGAATTCGGAGTGCTGCATAGCAGTTGTGCCTACAAGAGAGTTTTCTGAGAACATCTAGTATCCTTAAGTCACAGGTGAGTTGGACACCCTCTGCCTTCCACCCGAAAAAAACCCAAAACCAAGAAAGAGGGGCTACTCACTGGGCTGCCTTTTATAAGATGCTGATTATTCCTGCAGATAAAAACAAATTGACAGTCAGCTGAGCCCCAAATATTGTTGTTATTCTTTGGTGGCTTAGAGCATCCCAACTTTTTTTCTTCCACTGTAGAAGCCCTAATCCTAGTTGATATCTCTTCCAACACCAATATATAAGGTCTCCTCTGTGGTAAATATGTAGATGTCAAGTGACATCTTGGGGATAAGGCCTGTCTTAGTTATCTAGTGCTGCTATAATAGAAAAACCAAAAGTGGGTGGCTTTAACAAACAGAAATTTATTCTCCCATAGGTTGGAAGTCCAAATTCAGGGTGTCTGCTCTAGAGAAAGGCTTCAAAGGAAGGTTCTTGTTCCTTGGCAATCTTCATGTGGTATGGCATCTATCTTCCCCTATCTGTGCTCTTCTCTATGCTTAATCTACTCTTTTATATCTGAAGAGAGACTGACTTAAAGGACACCCTACACTAATACTGTTTAATTATCATAACCTAACAAAGAAAACCCATTACCAAATAGTACCGTAACTACAGGTATAGGGGTTAGGATTTATAAAATATGTTTTTTTGGGGACACAATTCAATCCATAACAAGGCTCCTTATTTCCCTTACATAATCATATACACAGATATGTATCAAAGATGAATGGGTGTGTCCTCATCATATGTAGATATAAACACTGTTATTTACTAATTTTCCAGTATTAACTATTAAAGATTAATATATACTTCTCATGGATTTCTATAAGGGAGATTTCAGGATTTTACCTGAGTTCTTAAGATTTTCATTCAGTCTATATGGATTAGGACAATATTAAGCAATTCAAAGAATATGCAAGCAATATAAAGTGAAATTTTCACGTCATGGAAAGCCCTCCCCAGTACACCAAAGTGGGGTTAATTCAGCTAAGTAACGAAGGACAAAATTCCAAATGTTTAAAACAGCCAAGTGGAAAACTTATCCTAAGTTTAAGAAGGTTGAATTAAAATTCATTTGCATTCCTTGAGTATTCCCTGAGTGAACACTTTAAGGTATTCAACAAAGAATTCACAAAAGTACAAATAGTAAACAGAATAAAATGCTTAGTTTGTGCTAGATAAACATTTTCATTTAATCTTTACAATAACTGCTTATGAGAAAAGTGCCATCACTATATCCATGTTACAAATACAGAAACTGAGGTCTAATGAAGTTAATATACTTGTCCAGAGTTACAGCTAATCAAGTAGCAAGTCACTGGAACACACACTGCAGAGCCTGTACTCTACTCTTAACCTCTAAGATATAGCATCCCTCACATGCAAATAAAACCCTGCACTAAAATATAGTACACCATTTTCCTTCATCTTTAAAGGTAACAATAATTGTATGTAATGGTTAAAATGTATAGCCATCAAGTTCACATATGGAATGAAATTTTCTTTGTTGGTTACCAGGGATGCGAGGAAAACTTACTAGATAGGTTTGAAAAAAAATAAAAATAAAAAATAATATGTACATATATACTCGGACCCAACTCATAGTGACCCCTCCTTAAGTTTCCAAGGTGGTATCACTATGGAAGTAGATTGCCCCATCTTCCTTCGGAGGAGTAGCTGGTGGGTTTGAACCGCCAATCTTCTGGTTAGCAGTCAAATGCCTTAGGCACTACACCACCACAGCTTATATTTTTATATGTACATATATATATCCCCCAAAGATCATTAGTGGTTACCAGGAGTAAGAAGGAGGGGAAAAGGGGAAACTTTTGTTTGTTTGCGGGCATTGAGTTTATGCTAATGGTGGTAGAATAATTTGGAAAAGGACAGCAATAATGGTGGCACAACATGAATAATGTCATCAATGTCCCTGGGCTATAAATGTGGACATTGTTATTATGTTGGTAATGTCTGGGTATATATATATATATGTTTTCACCATAATAAAAGTTTTAAAAAATAAAAAGTTTAAAAAGAAATGAATAGCTTTCATTTCCACAACACTATTTATATCTGGGAAACTTAAAGCCTTTCAAGGGAAGAATTTAGGCCTCAAGGACTCATTAATACCCAAAGTAAAACTCTCTATTCTGTAGTGTTTGCAGGGGATAAGATCCCCATAGCCAGTGCTGAAAAGGCTTGAACATGGGGTTAATTAACAAAAGAACTTACACCCCATCTAACTCTGTTTCCTGAGGTCCTGAAGAATCCAAATGACCTGCAATCAGATACAAACAATCAGTAACAGGAGTGATTCTTATCGATGAACCCTGTCTTTCCTTCTGATCTTCATTACCAATAAACCATAGTATTTTCAAAAGCTGAGCTTTTGAACACATAGCCTCCTCACAGGTACCAATATTCATGAAACTTAATAGCATTATACTATGGAGACTTTCTTTGAGTAGAAAAGTGTATCATTCAGAAAATCTGAAATTAGAACATGTACTAGAATGGTTGACTAATGAAACACACTCTTATCAGGCACAGACCTATAAAAACACCTATAAATCTTAGTTGAAAGAATATTTATGTTGGTTTCTCTGCCTCTGCTGAGATTAGACTAGGGGACACTTCTTTTTTGTGTGTGATTTGGATGAAAGTTTACAGAGAAAATTCACTTTCCATACAACAGTTCACACGCACATTGTCTCATCACATTGACTACAATTTACCCCAATGCAACAGCTCCCCTTCCACGTCCTCCCAATAGTTACCTCTTCCCTGTGTCTATCCCTCCATGCACTCCTGTCCCCTGAACTATCTCCCTGTGCATAAACAGCCCTTCTTTCTCCCATGATTGTTCTCTCCAAGGAGTGTATCTACCTCATGTACATGTTCAACTCATATGCCTGTCTTTTGTTTGGCAGGAAGTCACAGGTGTGGGTTCAATTCCAGACCAGAAGGGCAGCTAGGGACCATAGTCTCAGTGGTTCCACCAGGCTCTATCAGACCAGCAAACCTGGTTCCCCCTTTTTCCCAAATGATTTTGAGTTTTGTTCCACATTGTTCTCCCTTTCTATCCAGGATCTCCTCCATAGATCCCCTCTGAGTGGTTGACAATGGTAGCCAGGCACCATCTAGTTCTTCTGGTCTCATAGTCGTATAGGCTGAGGATCATATGGTGTACCACCAATCACGAGGACTAACTGTTTCCATCAATCTTTGGTTTTCTTCATTCTTCTTTGCTCTCCACGAGGAGAGACCCATCGTTGCGTCTAGATGGCTGCTTGCAAGCTTTTAATATCCCAGTCACTACTCACCAAAGTAGGAGGTGGAACAATGTTTTGTGCAGTAAGTTATGCCAATTGAGCTTGATGTAGACTAGGGGCCTCTTCTTATATCTTAACTACTATACTTTCATTCCCACCTATCAGTCAGTAAAATATTCCTTCCTGTATAACTTTATCAAATGCAGTAACTCTTATTAATGCTATTTTCTCTTCCTACTGGCTTAAGCAGTCTCAGAAATCCTCTACTTGCTCACACAATTCCAGTTTCAAGGCTCTCTATTTTTACCACATTCCATCCCAATCCTAGCAACATGTCCTCTCCCTTATCTTAGTCTTCCCACTGAGGCCTTTACTTCCCTTCTCCCTACCAGTTTCATCAAGGTCTGTGGAAGTGGAAAGCTGAGTGGCAGACATCTCCCCACCGCTAAGATTCGAAAGATCAAGGCAACATTTCGGGGTTCCTCTGTTGAGACATAACAGAACATTAAAATTCTCATTAGGCTCTAATATCCTTAAAGGGAACAATCATGTCATCCTCATTGGCAACACTCCTGAATAATTATCACAAAATATGAACAGTTTCCATACCTAATAATTTTTTTGGAAATATTTCAGACTACTAATGGAACAAGGGGAACTCTGGTGGCATAGCACCTAAGGCATTTGTCTACTAACCAGAAGGCTGGTGGTTCAAACCCACCAGCCACTGCTTGGAAGGAAGATTGGGCACTCTACTTCTGTAGAAATACCACCTCGGAAACCCAAGGAGGGGTCACTATCAGTCACAATCGACTGGACAGCAATGAGTTTAATGGAACAAGAAGCTCTGGTAGCACAGTAGTTAATCACTCAGCTATTAACTGAAAGGTCAGCAGTTCAAACCCACTAGCCACTCCACAGGAAGCAGTTGGCTTCCACAAAGATTACAGCTTTGAACCCTATGAGGCTGTTCTACTCTGTCCTATATGGTCACCTTGAGTCAGATTTGGCAATAGGTGTCTTTCACTTCGGTAGTAAATAACTAGGCTGAGAAAAATGTTTCATTTTTTTTGTAATTCAGTAAACTATACCTCATTGTCTCCTCACAACATACTTAGACAGGATAACTTTTTTAAATTAAGAATGTTATTGACCTTAGCTACCAAAAAAATAAAATACTTGGGAATAAATCTTACCAGAGACACAAAAGACCTCTACAAAGAAAACTACAAAAAGCTACTTCAAGAAACCATAAGAGACCTACATAAATGGAAGAACATCCCATGCTCGTGGATAGGAAGACTCAACATTGTGAAAATGTCAGTTCTACCCAAAGCAATCTATACATTCAATGCAATCCCAATCCAGATCCCATCAACATTCTTTAGG